CACCCCTCTTTAAGACACGCCAACCATACATACAGATTACAAATTACTGCAACAAAAACAGCCACACACACAAACGGTGTCTCCTTTGCATGCATTATGCAAGCGCACGTGTCGGCAATCCAGCTGAGAGCTATCTCTGCCAATACCAACCTAACCTTGCCCTGTGGTCAACACATTCATTTGGTAATGCATCGGGATAAAACTGCACTGTTAGCACTCTGCGCGCAGTGGCAGACGTTTTCGCAGAGGCTCTTAAGATGGATTTAATCAGATATGCGCATACACTGAATATTCAAAGCCATTTGCAGCGGTCAAGAAATGTGTTCTTTCTCCTCCGAGCACCTGGGTGAACACATCCGGAGACGATGATGGTTTCCCACTTAAGCCGTACTTAAATACAGTGTTGTGGTTCATTTATGTGGCTGGATGTTTTATTTCGGAACAAATGCAAAGTAGTGGAAAGGAAAAAGAGAATTTTTGGCCTTTAAAGGATGTTTTTTAACGTTTCATTATGTTACAGTTTGATATTAGTTTTATTTGATCAATAGCTGCTAAAATAACACTCTAGTAGGAAACAATGCATCTTGTTCCATCCAGTGTGTTGTCTCTGTATTCAGGGAAGGTTGGGAGACTAAGCCCCCACGCCGCTCTCGCACTCTCCCGCCTGACAAAAGCTTGGAGAGAATGTGCGGGTTGGGCCAGACGCTCGGTGCCACCGCTACTCGAGGGGCTCGCCATCTGTCCACTGGCACCGGCACATCAGAGTGGCACGGGCAGCGGGGAAAAAGGGGGGACTGAGCCGGAGAACGTTAGCAAACAGATGCGGGCAGATTGTGGATTAGGATCCTTCCTTAGATAATACCAAATGACATCTGATCACAGATCTCTCCCTGCGGAATGCTAGATGGTGGCATTCCCTCGAGGGGTTAACCATGCGAGAGATGAATGGAGGGTTTTCACACATTCGCTGCCTGGGAATCGTGGAGCAGGTGTGGGAGCGTGTGGTGGTGTTGTTTGGTTTTGTTTTTTATTTTTTATTTATGAAGCCTACTGTGTGTGTGTGTGTGTGTGTTTGTCCAGGGACTTCTATTTTAGTGGTGCCATCATTTAAAACTGCTCTAAAAAGTCAAGTTATTAGATGACTATTATAAGTTATTTTATAGTAATTAAATAATATAATTATCATTCATAGTTTGGAATTAAAACAGTGTACAATGATTCCAGTGTTCCAATTAAATTAAAATGAATCGGCTTTTCCTCTGTTTAAGAAAATAAATAAATAAAAAGAAGCTCTGACAGCAGCAGAGCTTGATGCAGTGCAAGTCATGGTCTCTGTCTGTCTGTCACACAGACAGACAGAGACCACGTTTAATAAAAAGCGTAACTCTCTCGCCATACGTGTGTGACTTGCTTCCCTTTTCCTACCAAGCCCAGCGACAAACGGCTGCAACTAAACACGTAAAAGTGTCGGTAAGCCTCACAGATCCCACACAATAAACATCCCCACAGCCAGATGAGGACAATGACAGAGTGTTCGGTGAAAGTGTTTAGTCCTGAGAAACTTGGCCCGGCGTCGGCCCGCTTCGCCGGGCCAGACCCCGGGCCGTTAAAATCAAACCACAGAAAACAAAAACAACCGTGACAAGCAGAAGCATGATGAATCAATTGGAGGACTGTTTAGAGTTCCTTAAGCTGACGAGAACACTCATCTCGATATAGATATGGTATTCTTCTTTACATTTTAAGCAACTGTCTCTCTACACTTTCCTACCGGGCAAGTCCAAAGATTTGATATGTTTGTCTTTGCTAGGCCTGAAATACTTTCTGTTTCGTCTTGGTAGTGCGACAGGATCACACAAGTATGTTTTAGGATAATTGGCTAATTAGAAATTATCAAGAAACTGTATTTTTTAAAATCAATTATCATACTGTATATATATATCAGGCTGATTTAGCCCTCTGGGGGCAAGGCTTTGGACAAAATTCGGCTGCTCGGCTCTGATCAGACTGCTGCTGTCTTGTGCGTGTAGACACTTTGTGCCTCACTGAAAGAAATAGCAAGGCTACACGAAAATGTGGAAGACAAACTGCGCGACATCAGCCAAGTGAATCCTCCCTCTCCTCCTCCTCCTCCTCCTCTTCCTCCTCCTTCCGAGTGGAATAAAATCATCCCATGACTGCTAACAAATATCAACCGATATCGTTTGCCTACTCTGAATTTAGGAAAAATGGGAGAGCAAATGGGGAGCAAGAAAGGCATAGAGCGAAAAAGAAAGAAAGGAGTGAGGAAACAGAGGCCAGCTTTGTCATTTTCACTAAACATTAAAAAAAATGAAATAAAAAAAACGAGCTGAGGAGAAACCCAGCGATCATTATGTAGCCGCGTGCAGATGCATTCAATTAGTTGTGGTTGGAGAAGCCTTGGCCTGAGACCAGCGCTTTCAATAAGATGGGGTGGGGGAGAGCACTGTCTGCCGTCCGACAACACCGCAACACTCGCAAACACTCTCACGTACGCACACACAGACACACACACACAGGGAGACCACATCTGCCCTAGGACTGCTGTTGGGGCAACCGCGTGACGCCAACGCTAAATATTCAGCTTGTGTGTCGTAAATGAGTGTGCTGATTACATGTGGTATGTGTGTATGTGAGTGTTTTCTAAAGTAATGTCTGAAGGAAACACAGCTGAGCACATTACACTCTCGAAGACACCCACATGTCCCATCCGTCTTGTGAGTGGTGGCCACACGATGACAATGGATTTCCTGACTTACTTGAAAGAAACCGAAGGAATTCGATGCCTTTCTTTATGCTAGACTGTAGGTTTTAAACCCTCACACACACTCAAAATGATATTTTATATAATAAACACTACTACAGATTCAAGAGAAAATGTAATAGAGCTGTTTTTTTTTTTTTTTAGATACATCTGCATGGATTACTGAGAGGTGAATTCTACACTGCTTACGTGTATTTCTTAAAAAAAATTGCAATATAAAATGGATATAATCTACTCAAATTCAGCTTGTGGATTAACTGGGAATATTAAATTGTAGATCATTTAGGATCTTTCAAACACTCCATCAGAAGTGTTAATACTAAAACAGCTAACAGCTGTAAAAAAAACAGAACTGCATCGAATTGAAAGCAAAATATATATTTGATTATCACTAAAACCTGCCATTTTTCGGCTGTGTGAAGGCTCAATCGTTTTGAGGTCTGAAAACCGTGTTGATGTTTTATGCCAGTAGTTGAATGCTATGCTTGACCTCAGCCTATGAGTGCTCTGATCTGATCTAGAAGCGCCTGGAGGATCAAATTCAGAGTGCGACAGGTTTTTGCAGAGAGCAGGGATTTCACATCTGATGTTCGGGGAGATGGGGGACAGAAAATGAAGGGATAAGAGGAGCAGGTGAGGTGAGTTCTGGAGGGGGGGGGGGGGGGATAGATCTCACCTGTTGCTGGTGGAGGAAGGCTGGATCTCTTGGGCTCAGGCCTACAAAACGGTTAGCCGTCGGGGTGCCAGGGGCTGAGTAGCCTGGGTAACATGCCATCACAAAAATACAAATACATGCTTGCATTACAATTTGCATTTCAGGAATTCACACGGAGCTGTTGCTTTTATCCACATTGGCTTACCATCAGTCATTTGACAACATTACAAACAACCAACAGTGAAGTGCATGTGGAGTCTCACAACGTTCAACTTTGGGCACACTCCCATTCTTCAGCCATTTGGACATTTTTTCGACAAGCATGCGATCGTTTTTCGTAAATACTATTTGGCTATTGCTGTAATGTTTTTTTTAATCATTTGAATGTTTTTTCATAGATGTTTTGCAGATGTATTTTACACTTAAGATGTTTGAGAATGTCACATATAGTTAAAGAGCAACTTAACACCAGCTGAAAATGTTGCTGCATTGACGAAGATGTTTACTCAAGGTGTGCAGTAGGTAATGGGTATGGGTTATCAATACAGGATGCTACGGACTCACCTTCTGTAGATGTGGTGATGGGCTTGGTGTCTGGCATGGAGAGCGAGACGGGTCGCACAGCGCCGTGGTGTGGGGAGGGAGCCAGAACTGGGGTGAAGTGGCCTGGGACCTTTCCGACCTGACTGCTGTTAGGCTGCAGTTGGGGTACAGACAAGACACTGTTCAACACGAGCGCTTGATTTTATAGAATGATTTATTCATGCAAAACATGCGGAGTGGCTTGCTCCATCTCTGGGGTTAAGCAGCTTTTGTCGTGAAAACTTAAATATTAATATCTGCTTATGTTTTCAAGAATAAAAAAACATACTAAAACAGGTATGGTGAATTAAGCTGAAGGTGCTCCAAAAGCAAGAACTGCCTATAGGAGGAAAGGCAAACTGTGTCCAGTCACTTGTGTGTACAAGCTCCTGTTTGCTTGTAAATGTGCAGTCGGGCCGATCTCAATAAAACAATACAAGCATGTAACAAACAACACTTTTCCAAAACGGTTAGCACTAAAGGAACTGAATGTCCGAGCCTTGTTTCTGGGGCAGTTAGTTCCTCTTAACTGCTTGGTTTTGTCCTCACAATATCAACAACAAAAGGTGACTAGACCGCTCACTCTTGCACTTAATGCTCCATCTGAGGAAAAGATTTGAAGTACTTTCAGTCGCTGTATTGTCACAGTTATTACTAAAACTCTGGTAGGGGGGCAAGAGCAACAATAGATCGTCAGTCACTGACGATGGATTTCCTACATGATTTTAAACAATGATTTTAATGGCTGCTCATAAATGAAGTTTAGGAGGACTCGGGGCATGAAAAGACTGAGAGAGCTGTGGAGGGACCTGTTACAATGGCGTGAATGTGCGAGTACAGAGAGCGAGGCAGCGACACTATATATATAGAGAAAGAAATAAAGGAAGCTAGTGTGGAGCTACTCTTTGCAGACGGCAGGAGACTGTCTGGGGTGTTCATTTCAGGGCCGCCCCATGTTCAAAACTCAAACAGGCCTTTTTGAAAAAGAATTGTGTCCACAGGGTTCCCTTCCACGTGAATAGAATGTTTAATTAGAGTGTAATATAATCTGCGTTAAAGCAAGCATAAAAACATTCTGGCACTCAGCCATGGGATTATAAGCGCTGTTATTTGCTGAGCCCCCCCCCCGCCCCAACTGGTCTTCCAGCGTTCTCTCTTCCCTACCGGACCCCTACCTCACTAGCCCGCCACTAACCCCCTCTTCTCCTTTCTCCAGCACCCCAGCAGAGGGCCAGTTAATTCTGCACAAGAGTCGAGGCCCCGGCAACGGCAAATATTTACAACCCTTATCATTCCCCGCGGTTTTTCTCCCCATACCCCTCTGGCCCGCTCCCTGCTCTGGAGATGGAGCCGTCTACGAGGCCTTTGTTTACAGTGAGAACAGCGGGGATATAAAACTCACATAAATATCACACGGCTCTCTCATCTATAGAGACGCCTGCTCTCTCTCCAACACACTGGCTGCAGTGAATGCCCAGAATATATAAGAGCCCTAAGCTATTTGATTTACTACGATGTCCTGATACAGTTTTATACGTCACGTGTGACTGCGACTTTTTTTATGTCGAGCTGTTTTTTTTTAGCACGACTACAAATATAAGGCAGAGAGCGTACTATAACCTTTGCCATGAGCATTTATATCAAACAGAAAACATATGCTTCTCTGTCACATAAAGTGGTCCGCAAAGTTCAGTCTGGGGTTGAAAAATGATTTAACTATGATTTAATTCACCGTGAATTAATCAAATTAGTTAACGCTTTGCTTCTGTGATTATAGGTTTCTGACCAATATTATAAATATATACTGTGGTCAGGTTTAAGAGTTGAAAATGTCTTATTTGGGGTTGGTAAAATGATTCTTCTTTTCAGACTTTCTGGAAAAAAGTGGTGAGAAAAAGCAGTTCATTCTAATGACAATGAATGACCAGGAGCAGGTTTCAGATAAAAGAAAAAACAACAACAAGCAAAACGGGATGATGTTTCTCGACTTACAAATAGTCCAAAGAGGCAGTAATGAAATAATGACAAATGCATGCTGTAATTTATCTTAGGTCAGATGGGAATAGAGCCGAACAAGATAACAAAAGACTACTTCAGGCCACGAAACTCTTGCCAAACCAGCCTCCCGATGTCTGGCCAACAAACACGGCTTCTTCAAAGACGAAAAAGAAATCACTGACCTGGCTGCTCTGCGGGCTGGACGGGTCGTATGACGGCACGTAGCTCTTGAGGGTATCGGCTGGGTTGAGGTGGGGCGGGTAGCGGATGGTGGTGTGCGAGAAGTAGGGCGACGGCGCCGGGGGCAAGATAGCCGAGGCTGAGAACTGCAGGGGCGAGTGTGGAGGGGGGCTCCTCGTCGATATAACTGCAAGAGAGACGGACAGAGGAGTTGAGAGGATGATGAAGATTGAGTGTTTGTGAGGGTTAAGATAAAGCGATCATCATTGATCTGAGAGGGTAAATGAAGTATCGACATCGATTTTTTTTCCCAACCGTGTTTATGAGGGAATAGTCCATTACAACTCCAGATTTAGCGAGAGAGAGAGAGCTGGTGGTTAAAGTCGGCGGTAACTCACCACTGTGTCCTACACCTGTTAGTCCTGGGTGATGAGGCTGAGAGAAAGTGCTGAGTCGTGGTGAGGAGTCCTGCGGGGAGGTGGGGCTGAACAGCGGCTTCTCTGGCTTCTTCATGGTTGGAGAGGACATGTCTGCTTGTGGGAAAAACACACACACAAGCACACACAAACAAATGACTGCATGCTCAAGGTCAGGACGTTTCCACATGCCTTATTGATTATCTAGGCTCTTAAAAGTCTTTGATCCGTTCTTTCAGCATATTTGCACACGACCAGATGGCAGCAATATTTCCAGCTTCTGTGTCGTGTTTAACATTTCTTTACAGGAAAATGAAATAAAATGGCATCACTGGTGCACAGAAATAAACACTGCAACTTTTTTTTTTTGGCATAAATAGGCTGAAAATTAATCAAAACCTTTTCCCTCCAGCTTCCACTAATGCTTCCATTTCTCCACGAATGAAAGGAATTAAGTGCCAAAAATGAATTACGGTTGAAATTAAGCAGAATTTGATCTGCGTGGGATTAGTATTACCAAGTGGTCTTCAGCGAATGCAGTAGACAAAAATGGAACATGTATTTTGCAAAGTAGTGACGCACTGCAAAGGGTCAAAATCACTCATCATCACTGGAATCATAACAAATCACTGGACATCCCTAAGAAATACGAGTCCTGTGAAAATTCGGCTTTTGTCAAGTCTGAGCAGACAATTAAATCCAGTGATCGAATGCACAGTTGCAAAAGCAGCCGGTCGCTCAAATGGGATTGAGGAATTTCGAGACCCTCACGTAATCTTAAATAGAACATTACACTGTAACATCTGCTCGCCTCGGCCTTTACACGGTGTCTGACAAGCTGTACTGTAATTCCCCATGAATAATCCTGAAGGCTCTGCAGAAGACATGAAATGTGTTGAAAAAATGAGTGTCGGTTTATAAACTAAAAGTATGCGCACAAACTCTTAACGTTGCACAATATCGCTGCGCCACACTGTCATGAGCAATGTTCTGCTGTCACGGCGGTGCGTATTTTTTCAATTTTCCGTGTTAAGACAAGGTGTCTGAGGGGAACGTGATAACAAATATGCGAGATGAACATTCGTCAAGTGCTTTTCTGGTCTGTCACAGATTCCCCCCAAAAAATAAGCTCTATAAACCCTGTTGTTGGGTCATTCCCGTAGTATTAACCGCCCCTTTTCCCCTCCGAGGACATGGAAGGATCCACCCGAGTGACGGGTGAGAATTAGTCTTCTCCAGAGAAAGAGAGCGACAAAGGTGGCTGGAATTCAGGGGGATTTCCCAGTCTGAGGTTGCAAGAGGATACGGGCTTAAGTGCTTTCATTTTTGTGTCAGAGGGAGAAATGCCGAAGAGAAGATTGATCACTGCGAAATGTTTCCATGTATAAATAGGAAATATTTTCTGTGGTGAAGGTATTCAGCTTTTCCTCTCTTGTGCTAATTAAATCCTTCAGGGAATCGACTGCACTGCCTGGGGAAATTAAACTAAACAATTAATTACCAGAAATTACACTTTAAATAGTTTAAATAAAAAGTCCAAAGCTATTTTTTTTCTTTTTGCATTTAGCCCAGTTGTGAATGTGTACGTTCACATAAAAAAATCCTCAAAAAAAAGGTCTTAATTCATGCAGTACTTTCCCTAATGAAAGAAAAGAGAGAAACAAGTTCTACTTCTACATGGAGAGGTTTTGTCGAACGACAACCTTGTGCGAGAAATGACCGCTTGGCACTCGAGAGGCCTCATATGGGTTTAATATCACCCCACTTCTCATTTATTCTCTCCTGACAGAATAATGGCTGTCTTTGGAGAGTTTCCTACCCACTGCTTTCCCTTTCTCCTCGCCCCAAAGCGTCTAAGTTTACGTAGAGCAATACTCTCAGGCCTTGTGCAAAGGGACAGGCTACATTTTCCCGTAGCCACATTGGGCTGTGGTTGAATCCCACCAGTGCTGTGTCTCTCCTGTGCCAGCTGGTGTTTTCCTCTCTCAGCCTATTATATTGAAATAAAAAACGAGGACTTGGTAGAGAAAGTTTTTACAAAGTTAAAACTAAAACCACAGTAAGAGGAAAAAAGGTGGGACATTTTATTTCTAATCACTTAGTCCAACAAAACGTTTCCTACCACCCAGTAAAATCCAGAGGCAGTGCGGGCAGCAGAGTGTAGAGAGAAGTCAGCAGAGAGTGAGAATGATCCGGAAACACGGGACAGTGAGGCCTTAATTAAAAGGGTGACGGGCTCTGCTCTGCACCAGGAGACAACGTAATGAGACATGCAAGCTGTCCCGCGAGGATCTCGCTTTCTCTCGCACGCAGAAACGAGCACGAAGGACAGCTTGTTTCTCGCTACACGCGGCTGTCCCTTTTCTTTTTCTTTTTTTCTTTTTCCAGATCCAGTAAGCCCTACGCATGAGCTCATTAGGTGAGCTTTATTTCTTAATTCCCTTCCAACTAGTCCTGTGCCTTAAAGTTGGCACATGATCATCAAAACTCTACTGACGGGGAGATTCCTCTCAAGTTCAGCCAAGATCTACAGCCTGATTTCCTGATGAGAAGTCATCTGACACGTTTGCCCTGCAGGTCTAATAGCTCGACATGATGTTTGTAAGAAGGCATTCCTCTATCAACGCCACCCAAAAAGTGTTTCAGCTCTCCGCATATGAAGAAAAATGATACACCCAACATTTGAACACTCACAACTTTGCACTCGTATGAATGTAAAACCTCGATGTATCAGCCATTAAAATGACCGGAGTGCCGTTACGCAAGTTGTGAACTTCAGCTGAAACAGTTTGTTCTCAGATTCTCTGCATTCTGGGATCCAATGTTTGTCTTGTGTAAGCGACAGGTGTGAGCGAGCAGATTTACATTCAGACAGCGGTTCAAATGGGTTCAAACACTTATATGACTGCCAATGCCTGGGGCTATCTCTGTCATGGTATGTATTTTAAGAGGGTGGAACCGGTTCATGTGCAGAGAAACCAGATGCAGTTCGTCCGCAACGAAACGGCTGGCGGCATTGATGTACAATGGCTTATGACAAGGCTGAGCGTTAAAGGGAGTTCAGCTGTTCAAAAGCGTCGTGAGGTGTTTGCTTTGATCAAATCTATTTGCATGCGATGAGGGCGAAACGGGTAATGCTCTCCTACCCCTTGTTAAATCCTGTCAACATGCTGCCGCGCAGCGGCGAACTGTGCAAGAGCCTGTAGTCGCACAAGGGCTGTTCCCCGACTCTGTGTAACCCGTATGTGTAACTGTGTGAATGCGTTGGAGGGTGTTACTGACAAAGTACATCCAAGCCTGATAAAAAAGATAAAGGTGGTCAAATAAGAACAGGAAAATCACCTCCTTCTCTATCATGCCAGTTGGCCCGACTGCTGGCTGGCGAGCTGGGTGACGAGTAAAAGTCAGGTCCTGTCGGGCTGGTGTCCATGTTCTCCTCCATGTTGACGGTTTTGGGCCTTTTGCTGTGGGACACGGCCAATTTCATAGTTTAGCAGAGCCAGTCATTTTTTTGGCATTATGACTTTCAAGATCACAAAATCAAAGGAGAGTTTGACATTTTGAGAAATACACATGTTCATGGTGCTGCCAAGAGTTAGACAAGAGGATTGATACCACTCCCATATGTGTGTGCTAAAGATGAAGCTAGTGCCAGGAGATGGTTAGCTTAGCTTAGCATTAATACTAGGAGCCATATTTCTTCTGTATTGATAATAATCCACAATGTCACTGCTATAATAGAAAGTCTTTTCCTCCCCCAACTTTGCCCAAAAAGGGCTTCGTCGCTGTAACTTCCACTGACCTGCCAGGAGGGGAGGACAGGGAGCGGTGCAGCCCCACGCTGGAGTTCAGGTCATGATAGTAGGGCTGGCTGGGCATGTCGGCCATGGAGAAGTTTACCGCAGCACCGTGGGTGATGGGCACTGCAGAGGACACAGAGAAAACAAAGAGAGACAGTTACTCTGTAATCACTTGCAAAGAGGGAGTCCAGTATCAGCAGTGTTGTCAGACTGAGTGCTGCGTCTTTCCCTCTACTCGCATCTAGAGGCGCACAATTAATTGCACGATAGCTTGACTGACTGTTATTGACGCTTAGTGTTTGGAGGCCCTGTGTATCAAATTAAGCGCTCCCCATTCACAGGTTAACTGTCTGACCATCACAGGCATTTCTGCTGAGCACTCTGATTAACAAGTCAATGCTTCCCAACGCGCTTGTTGCTGCAGGTAAGGACATTTTCACGAGAATGTTTACAGCAGCTAAGTTTTATATGTGGCACTAAGAAGACACACTGAATATACATTAAATATTTAGACATACAGCAGGAATACAACTGTGTTGTATAGCTAATAGCACCAAAAGAAGGCCTTTTTGTTGTCAAAACTGAATTCGCAATCGTCAACATTTTTTCTTCTCTTCTCTACAGTCCAGTGCAACACTCAGCAGTTTCCTCACATAGTGATTTACAGTGGGGAAAGGTGTTGTTTTTCTCACTGCGGTCAAGGTGAGGGATATTGTTTCAAGGGAGGCCGCGCCAGTGTTTACAGAACAAAAGGAGTTCACCACCCATCGTCACTCTCTCTCTCTCTCTCCTCTGTCTCCCACACGCCTCTCGCTCTTCAGCGTGTGGCCCGCGAGGCCGCCTGCGGCTCGAGCGGTTGGTTGGTTGGTTAGGAGTCGATGAGAGGATGGAGTGTGTGGCGCCGTCTGTTGTGGTCTGAGGTTCACCACTGGCACGATCCCTCCGCCAGCCTCCGCCCTGGCAGCCCACTGTAGCCCTGGCAAAGGCCCCTACCCGCTGCTGCCCATACCGAGCTGCCTGTGGAGGAATGCATCCGGCCCGAGGACGCCGAATACAAGACCATTGTTTTGGTTTTTTTCTTGTTTTCATTCATGGATGAGGATACCCCCAACCACTTCTGTCTGAGCTGGTTTCTCTTTACTGTCTCTCTTCTTGGCACTTGGCTGCCCTGCCTGTCATCTCATTTAAGACGATAAAAAAAAACTGTAAATGAAACAATGATGCAGCGTTTGCCCCGCAGTGCTTCTTTTAGCGGAGTACCTTGTCTTTCTGTATGAGGGGAAAATGTAATGTTTCATCTGCCTGTGCATGTCCACATTTTCAGTTAACAAAATGTCTTTACACTTGCAGTGGAGGCTCCTGTTGTATTAATGAGTGTCCCCGTCGAAATGCTGGATTCCAAGTCAGCCTTGAACTCCGCAGCCCCCTTTGATGGACTTCAAAGAATGTCTCAGCGGCCCGGAGAGTCGGGAGAGAGGCGCGATGACGGACGAGCGGCTGCTGCTTAGATATCTTCCCAGGGAGTGACCGGCTGAGTGAGTGACAATTCCTGTGTGTCCGTCGACCTTTTTAAAATTCCAGCTCGACTTCAGTTGGCTTTAGTGAAACCGGGCTCGGTCACATGAGAGCAAAGACCCCAGCGCAAGCAGCCATCTGGTCAGGGGGCAAATTAAACGCTAAACACAAACACAGCCTTTCAAAGGACAGTCAGTCTCAGAGCATCGAAATGAGTAGGTTCTGCCTTTCAGAGCTTGATGTATGAGACAGCAGAGACAACCTGGTCCATGTTTCCTACATCAGAAACACTTTGACACGCCAGGTGAACGGAAACAAAGGTCCACTTTAAACACTATTTGCTGCTCTAAATACGTTAACATGTGAATGACCAAAGCAAAATTTCACAATCACAATCGTGATCATCAAAATAGTTGCCAAATAACTCTCTGTAGACTAACCTGACTTATTTCAAACCCACTCTAAACCTACTTTAGACCGCAGCACTGAACAGGAATGACACCACTCTGAGTCTTACATGAGATGGGAATAGACTGGTACATACACAGACAGCATGACACCGGTATGTTCCTCTTAAACACAGGTTACTGGGGGTGACTGGAGTCTTTGTGCACCGGCAGGCATGTTCCAGATCTAAAGTACAGGAAAAGGACACCTTGGGGCGCCTTCAGTTATCAGAGGACTGCTGGAGGGACAACCGTTTAACGGCTTTGCGGAGGGCAGACATGTCTACACAGCTGCACACAGGCTCATACAGACGGACCGGACAAACTGGATTTGCCACACCACAGTTGTATTGTGGATTTCAGTGAATACACAGAGGTTGGGATTTGTAGAAAACGCTGCGAGTTACAGATTCTCTTTACATGTAAACACGCAAATACATCGGTCTGCGTTCGAGCAAAGCTAAGGCAGACCTAAAGGTGTTTGCAGCTACCTGGTTAGACCTCTTCTGAAGGCCGTGTGGGCGTGTACAGACTGTGATTGATTGACTTCTCCCTGACTCTCATTTTAACTAGGTTGCACCTGTTAGGACAGGGAAACTTACACCTTCAACATTCCTGTAAGTACATGGACTTTGTCCTGATGTGATTCCCAGCGAAGCGCCGCTTATCATCAATGTGAGCAGAGGTCTAATCAGTGATAAGTGGAGGAATACCTGAACACACCTGTGTGGGTGTGCAGGTTGCAACATGACAATATGACGGCGGCTACTGTATGTACTTACTTCTGGACACTCGCACCAGTTCTGTAACACTGAAGACTCCTGATTTGATGAAGCTGTCTTCCAAGTAGACTGCAGACACAGGGACATACAGAACATCATTATCACAGTCATGCTTTGTTATTCATTAAACACTTTCATACCAATTGAAAAATACACATAATGTGTTCTTTGAATGTGAAATCAACAGCAGCATTGAGGTCAATAGGTCCTCCAACTCTTCTCAATCATTCTGCTTCATTTTGTATGAAGATTGAAAAGGATCGGCCGTTTTGGTTTGTTAGATTTAGAAAAGAGCACAAAGGTCACACACGAACAAGTGGACAACTTCAAAGACGAGATAAATACGCAGGTACAGATCACCACACAGGGATTTCAACCCATTTAAAAAAATGGTAAAAAGGAGAATTCATCAGTTTTATACCACATCAAGTATTTTTCACGCTTTCACGTCTTTCTGTAGTCTTAGGGTCTTAGTTTCCATGAGATTTGAGCTGTGGATTGTTGACTTGAAAATGAGTGCGTTATGAAAAAAGAAAAATCAGTTACTGTGCTGTACCTTTTCAGTTGAAGTGTTCAAACAAACAGCAGCAAGTCTATGTGTACGGTGTGGTTAAGAGTGACAGGACAGGTGTGTGGGGAGGAGGGAGTGACATTCTTGCTGCTGAGAGCACAATGAATGAGCCCACGCTGAGCCGCAGGCGCGGCCCATTCGATCAGATACACTAGCGAAACTTCATAACTGTCAATATTGACACCGTTACGCTAAGACGTATCACACCAATAAACATCCACCTTAAAAAGTCATTAACTGCAGATTCATGATTATATTCATGATTATTATTTTCCGAAAAGTATTTTTTGACCGTGTCAAAGTGTATTATTATTTTCTGAAAAGTATTTTTTTTGACCAAGTAATTATAATGTATATTGTTTGCAGTGTTCTGTATGACCTGCCCAGGACTGAGCAACACTAACCAGAGGCTATAGGTCAAACACGTAAAATAGCCAGACAAGTTATTGACACCCAAATGACCCAAGCTGGGCTTTGATGCAATGCCAAGGGCACACTGTCCCGTGCCAGAAAGATAGGCGGGCGGACTCGGTTGGCACCTACAAAGCCTCATGCCTCCAGTGAGCCAACGGCTTTCGCAGGGGACCATGCCACTGCCCGGGGGCCTCCGAGGCTTGAGTCATTGGCTCGCTAGCATGTTTTCCTTGGCACGTGAATCGGCGGAACCAGCTCTTGAGGTAGACAACTAATTATACTTCTCAAACTATTTTCATTCCAATGTTGTGACGACACAGCGCAGGTCAGTCCAAGGGAACGGCTGCGCTGATGGAGAATATTCCCTACAGCTGGCTCACCACGACACACTCAGCTGCCAGCCGAAAGGTGCAATCTGCTGCAATGTTTTCACTCCAGTCTCTTTTTCTTTTTTTTGTTTCACGCCGTTTTGGATGTTGCCACTCGGATGATGACGATTCAAATGTAATGATCCAATTAAATTTTCTTTTTGTTGTTGTTTCAAAGGTATTACATGGTATGAACCTAAGGCAGTACAGTACAGTTTTGTTTGGGGTTGTTTTTCGACAGTAAGGGATTTGCTATTTTGACTGCAAGTCACTGAGTTCACGGCAGATCAACACTATTGAAATTAGGTAAGCGACGGTGTACATAGGCCGCTGTACAGAGGGCAAGCTGCAGAGGAACAATAGAGCGATGACAGGAGGGAGGAGGGAGGATGACTGGTACTGTACATACCTGGAAGAGGGTTCTTGCCTGGCTCATTGTTACTGGGACTTCCTGACTGCCGCGAGTCTGCAAACACACAGAGAGACGGGAGGGAGGGGGGGGGGGCTTAGTAAAGCAGGAGGAGATCTTACTGAAACACTGGTTTCATGTCAGCATTGATTATTTCCAGCAAATGTCACCTGGTGGCTGGGTGAGGAGACTATCCTGTAACTTGTAATTAAAAAATAAGTGAATCAGAACTTTAATCTGATTTACAGTTTGTCTCTCAACAGCCACAAACTCACTGAGGTCAATTCAAATTAAGGAACAACTTCTGTCAAGACACTCAAAAAGACAAAGTGCATTTCAGGGGACTCAGGACTTCCTGATGCATTAATGTTTTTCCTTATCTAGCAGTCAAGGCGAGCATACCCACTGTACATTAAACAAGACAGTTCTGTTTGAACAGCATTATCATTAATGGGAAGGCAGACCGAAGAAAAGAACTCTCTGTCTGACACTGGATAGCCTAAAAGTTTTTTACCAGCAGACCTCTGGGTAATTTTTCAAAGGGGCTAAGGGAGTGTTGGGGGGGGGGGGGTGCAGAATGTGTTCGGTCCTGCTGTGCAAGGTACGAGCACAGAACAAAACGTGGAGAGAGGACAGGAGGGGCGGGGAATTACGAGGAAACATGAGTGGAATTCTTTCCATCGGGTACAGCGTGCAGACTTTGGTATGAGATGGCCTGGACTGACGTAGTTTACCTCGAAGCTTGCTGCCCTGGTTGATGACTGACAAGGCAAATGAGCCTTTTTTTTTCATTTTATATCACGCAACTGCAAAAGTTGTGAAACATCAAAATGAACTGTATTCATCAGAGTCAGATATCAATCTGTGCGTACTTTGCGTTGTATGTTTCGTGTTGGGAGGAAAAACTGACTGAAAGTAGCACTGAACTACTGCCGTGCCAAACAGTGCCAGACAGCGTCTGAGTGGACCCCCATAATGACCCAAACTGGCCAAAGCCCACACACGCCCTGAGACGGAGAGGGCCCAATGAGAACCAGAAGGGAGAGTGTCCTCTACGTCTTTAACGTGATAGAGCCGAGACAAGAAGCTAGGGACAGTGAACTCAGATACCCTCGCCTTGCAACAACACCCCTTTTCCTGCCGCAGCTCTCATGAGCCGTGTTACGGAGGCAACGGAGAGAGGGAAGGAGAGGTGGGGTGGGAGAGAGAGAAGAAAAGTAGTTGAAAGATTTATCCCTTACTTGTTCTCTCTCTGTGTCTCTCTCCCTCTCTCTCTCTTGTTCCCCCCTCTCCTAAATTTGACTATTAAACAGCGCTGCAAAAACAGAATGTTCTTGGCCGAAGCTCAACAATGACAAAGTAGGGAGGGAACAGGACCATACGTTAAGAAGAAAATAAAAAAAATCCCCTCTTTCCAGTACTCTTAGCCCTAAAAACGTACAAGTAACGTAGAAGTTATAGTCTCACAATGCACCTCCACTCTGCTTTCTAAAAAACATATGGATGACTTATGCCTTCCCATCGTGAAGTCCCACATTTTTTATATGGGATCTCTGTCAAATCTGTCATGTGCACACGTAGAAAAGTTGTAATATTTAAAGCAGATAGGGCTGCAACTAAGGATTATTTTCTACAAGAGAAAGTAATGAAATACGCCCGTCAAACTCCAAAACGGCAAAAATAATCAAATATATAAAACAGAGAGAAGTTGCAAATTTGAGAAGCTGAAGTGACAAAACTATTTGCATTCATCTTCAAAAAATCTCTTCATCAAATAATCAATTATCAAAATTATTTAATCGTGTCCATAATAAAATCCATATCATTGCAAGTTGTACACTCTTGAACAACATGTTCAAGATGTTGTCTGGTCCCAGCAAAGTTTGCCTTGTCCCCCCCCCCCCCACCACCACACACACAGACAGTGTGCAAAGCAGCTTTTGTGAGCGGACGGAGGTTTGTGTGGATTTGGCACAGCACACGTCCATAAAGTGATTGCAGGGAGCTCAGTGGCCTTGTCTCCCTGTCTTCTCCCCCCCGCCCCCCCGCCATGCCACTCTCGGAGTCATCCATCAGTCTCGTTACGACTGCCAAGTCTGCGCTCGCGCCCCGAGAACTGCTGAGTGGGAGAGAAACGAGGCCAGGGGAGAGGAAAAAGAGCACCGGAGAGTGGAGATGAGGTAAACGCTGAAAAGGTGGCGAGGGGAGAGAAGGAGCAAAGAAGGTGGAGGCGGGAGAGGTTAGATCGGATCAGAGTTCTGTGTTTTTGGTTGTTGTTGTTTTTTTTTCCCCCTTCTTCGAGGGCGGAACAGGCAACCATGACAAAAAGAGCAGATGGTGGCGGCAATTAGAGATCCCAGGCAGCATCTTCCAGCATGAGGCCCCACTGTAGCACCAGGAGAGACCACCTGGATGACTCAAGGTGGGATGCGAGCATATGGCGCATCTGCCAGGCCTGCACCGGAGCTGGAAACACCTCCCCTATTGCATTACATTCTACCTTTGACCCGAAAAGGGCAGCTTCATGCTCCTTCATCTTCTTTCAGGGTGATTATGACATTGTTTAGAGCAGCGCTTGCACATTTGTCAGGCCGCAAGTGTGCTGTTTATATTTACTTCACTTTTTTTTTCTTTTACATTTATCACTTTTGTCCCTCAACAGGTATAAAGCCTCAAATAAAAATAATTCTGGATTTAAAAGCGTATAAACTGCCTGCAATTTAAAAATAATATGCAGTACATTAAAGTGTCTGAGATAAAGTAAAGAAGTGGCACATTTGGTGTCCGTATCTAAAAGGTGTCCTGTGCAGAACCCCAGCCAATCCGATAGTCTTCAAATAAACAGTAGTGTAACCTGTAAATAAACAGTTTTGCGGTCGAGGAGGCTGGGATTTGCCCTGGGAGCTTGGCAGGCCTCGATCACAGGGCTAGACACCACACACACACACACACACACACATACATACACACACTCACGCCCTCTCACACACATACACATCAACACGCACGTACGCACGCGGCCCTTTTCCAAAAACAACATTTCTTGGCACCCTCCGTCCCTGCCACTTGTTTAAATAAACAAACTGGTTCATGAAGGAAGAGAGAAAAAAAACAGCACCACATATATGAATCAGATTATCTGCAGTTACTCAGCAAAAACAAACAAGAAATGCAAGGGAAAAAAGTAGCAGAGAGGGCTTGTGGGTATTTGGGACGTGTCCACGAGTTCTTACACCTTCTTGTCCAGTGGGATACTTATCATACCACTGTAACGATTAGGGCAATTAGGGGTAATGGCAACAGAAATCTGGCTCTGCAAGAATGTTTCTCAGTGCTTTTGAGGGTTCTTCCTCACGCCCATGTGTGTTACTCACCTGGATTTTATGATCACTAAAACACTCACACACACTTTCTCCTAACACACCCTCTCATTTTTTGGCATCATACCCATTCTTCTCCCACTAAATTGCGGAACACACATGCACACACACACAGTGTGGATTAAATTAGCCACATAGTTTGGGAAACTTTCTCTTTTTTATTCTTTTTTTTACAGTGGCGGCGCACGCTCCTAGCCTGCAAACACTTGCAGACACGTACATATATCCTCCGGAAAAAAGAAGAAGAAAAAACAGTGCGCACGCGCGACACGCACACCCTGCAGATGCATACCGCTGTCGACATTTCAGGAGGAGAAGCCTGTCTGGCAGCCATTTTATGCCGAGCGGGGTTCTGTGCACATGTATAGCACTCTGGCTGCCAGAGGCAATGGGTCCCGAGCCAAGACACATTTCAGCAGCCTGGGGAGGCTGAGGGGAGGGGAGGAGAGGTGGAGAGGGGTGGAACTCCGGGAGAACTGGGGAAACAGAGAGAGGGGCAGAAAATATCGACCTAATTACGGAGCAGCTCCGATGCGTAATGTTTCGACAATACAGCTGCTCCTGAGTAAATATTTGATGTGGCCGAGCAGACTTTCTGCTCAGTGTCGTCCTGCTTTTCTTTCCCTTCCTGCTGCAGGAGACCAGTTTGTCCTTCCTTGGAACTGCACGGGCGAAATATGTCTGTGTGGGTGTGTGTGTGTGTTTGTTTGTGTGTGTGTGTGTGTGTGTGTTGCACACGGGGTCATGCAAGTCTTGACAGTGTGCGCAAATGACTGTACATGTGCCGGTGTGGAATGTGTGTGTACTTTGTCCCGTGTCCTCCTCTGCTCCTGGTTTCTATCACTCATAGCTTTGCCGATGACCTCACGCCGCTCGGGCCGGCTTCCAGCAGCCGTCAGAACCTGCTCTCCTCTCCAGATCTCCCGTCTTTCTTCTCCTCACTATCTATCGCCGTCCCTGTGTCCTGCAACAGTATCCCTCCCCTATTGTATCTTTTCATACCCGCCTCGGCGTAGATCTACTGTTCAGTGTGTATCTATGACGATATCATCTTATCAGGCGATAAGTGCACACCATGTCTTCAAATTTCTCGATTATTTTTTCCCCTCATATCTCCTACTTTTTAACACTTACGTCTCTCTTTAATGTCTCCATCTGTGGTGGCACTCTCCCCCCACCGCCCCCTTGCCGCCTTTTTTAATACCCCCTCTCTCTCTATCTCTTTGTCTTTCTATCTCTCTCTTCTCTCCCTCCCTCACGCTTTGTTGTCTAAACAAAGTGGCCTTTATCGGGATGAGCCGCAACCCAAACAAGCCAAACAAAAGATATGGGCGAGGAAATCTGCCCGCAGAAGAGGGAGGATCTTAACGTGCCAGGCATTGTGTGCCAGCCTGCCAACTGGCGATGCCCCCCGCCGCCGCCGACCCCTCCCTGCACACACACACATACACATACACACACACCAAATTCTGGCATCTCAGCCCGCCCCCTCCTCACCCGGACCCATGCATGGCGTTCTGCAAAGGGCTGGCACCTGACCTGGCCGAAAGGAAAGTGATATTGGCGCCGAGGGTGAAGGGAAGACAGGCGCTGCAGCCGAATGGGACGCCATCTTGGGGTGGCATTGTCTCAGCGGTAACGATGAGCTGCAGCTAAGCAGTAAAAAATGAAATGTGG